GACAAACGCTTCTTTCAACTTCCTCGGGGGCACCGATCGCAACAAATCGATAGATATGACGAAGATATGATTTGTTCGAAACGTCGCGATTATAATACAAAACGACTTATCAAAACGTTCGTATAAGCGTGTCTCCAAAATGAACGAACCGAATAGAAAGTTCATTTAAAAATATCCAACGGTTCATCGTGGCAACGGGGTCAAGATCGAAGACGTTCGCGCGATTCCTTTATTTTTAGTTTTTAAACAACAGTGACGCGAAAGTTTGGTCGATCGATGGTCGTTCCTTCGACGAACTCGCGGAATCACGTAAACGTCCTCGATGTCGAACATTTCCAGACAGAAATGGTCGGGCACGTTCGTACCAATTAACGACAAATTGCGTTGATTTTTCGTATAAAAAATTATTCGTATCAAGGATATGTATTGTGTACGCGTTTAGACGCTAAATACGTACGTAAAAGTGCGCTGAAAACAATCTTAGAATTTATTTCATTTTTCGTCGAGTACTTATGGTCACCCAAACACGTCCGTTCGATTCGTTTACTTTTACAAAATCAAAAAATTTGCTTGCTGAGCGTCGCTGGAAAGGTTCGACGATGTTTAATCGAGATCCTCGATAGTGGATCGGGCAATTAAGTCAATAGTTAACTTAGGCTTTTCGGATAGACGTTTCGTTCGACGGGACTGATGAGCAGGGGAAGAACACGTTGACATAGATATCTTCGTTTCCCGACGAGTAACGGAGAAAATAAAAGAAAAATAGAAGAAGAAGAAAGTCGTCGAGACGCGGGATTCGATGAACATTTACGATTAATTAGGTCGTCCTGGCGTATTCATTAGGTCCAACGCATGAACGTGCGCGCGCAGTATACAGTAAACGACAATTAATTCGTAGATCAGCGCGTGTAGTTATTTACAAGTATATATGTGTAATATGTGTATGTGTGTGTACGTCGTGGAACAGTTTTCCATTTTCACGCACGCGTCAGCTTTCATTCAGACACTCCTTGTCGTTGATCATTCGATTACACACAAGCGGTACGCTATCATATAATAATTATTATGTTCTGTCGTTTATGAGAAATCGAATCGTTTCTCACGAACAATAGCATCAAAAGTATCACGAATATAGAGCCTTTGTTCTGTCGTCTATTTTCACAAATTACAGGTCGTTCAGCACGTTCAACGTCCACGTTTATAATATCTAAGACGCTTAAAATGGCGATTTTCATAATAATAAAAGTGTTGCTTTCGTTTCTGCAGTTGGAAAAATTGGTCGCTCAAGGTCATTTCTCTCGCTGACTTTTATTTTTGCTTGGACCTGTGTGACAATTATTTAAACTACAAAGTAAAAATTAATATTTTACATTTTACGATGTTTATTGTACAAATATTTTCGAAGCAGTAACTTTAGTTTATATAAAACTTAAATAAAATGGTTCAAAGTAATGTCTTACTTCGTTTTATTGTACTAAATGAGATAACAGATAGTTTTAAATTGATAATATGATAATACCAGAAATTAATTTCGAGTTTATTCAAGTCTGGTTTCGCATCATGCAAAGCTTATTGCTCTGTTTAAAGAGCAGAGAACTCGTGTTTATAAATTAGAAGAGATCATAGAGACAGTAGTGGTAGTATTCGAACTCTATAATAGGAACAGCGCCTCATTATTAGCTTTGAGCGACCAGTTTCATTTGACTACAAACATTAGGCAGCATTATCCTCACATTTTGCAATTTCAAACCTTCAGAACAACCTTATACACGATATCTTATGCGTATTCAATGGTTTTCCGGGACAGAAATATTTTAATTCATATAGTGGACGTTAAACATGTGAACCCTTTTATCCGTAAGTCAATTTTAATCGTGCTTGTGGAAACTGTCAAGACTGCGAAGAAAATGTAGTCCTTGATTAAATGATTCAATACACATTGAATTCTCAAGACATTTCGGTTAATAAACAACAGTTGATTCAGAATATTTTGTGAAGCTTGATTTCATCTTAATTAAACAGCTCCAATATTAAACACTAAAATTATAAAATTCATTAATGTGTTACGCGAGTTTATTTAAAATGTAACTTTAACATACAATAAATAAGTATTGTATGCTTAATTATATTTAGGTTTTTTAGCTTCGCATAAACATATTCAAGTATAATTTAAAATATTTTATAATAACTATCGTGGTACTTTACATACACACATTTTTGGTCGAAGTAAGTTTTTACCAATTTTTTCCTTCTTCACTTAAACTTCGATTATGATCTGTTTCTGTATCATTTGTATTTAACTATATTCTTATTATATTTTTCTACCCTATTTTAGTGAACGTTTACATGTTATTACCTGATGAGAGTCTCATGTAAGAGAACCAAAACGTCGTTCAATAAAAAGATTATATACATTATTTGTTTCCAAGCTTGTTAATATGAAATATTTTTATAGATACTTGTAAATTAGGTTGTACAAGCATTTAACGTTTTCAGCCCTAAGTTGAGTTCTCTTCATGTACACAAATAATCTACAATAAAAAAAATAAACAAAAATTCTTATTGAGTGTGTACGTATCTAGGACTTACTTTGTGTTGACAATTAATGGTAAATAACTTGTTAAATATAAAATATTGGTTGCAATTATGTTCGATAGAAATCCTTATATTTACCTTATGAAATTAGTAATCCAAATAGAATCTAAAAATATAATATAAATAAACACCGAAGATACAATTCTCCTGTTACAGGATTTGTAGGGTATTAAATACCCGGTTGTACTAATATAGTAGAACTTCGATTAATGCAGAAAATCGAGGCTGAAAATTTGTATAACAATCGAGGTAAATTCAAGGAATAGCAGTCCTAACGAATATCCCTTTTGTTTGTCAAAACAATGCAACAAATAAGTCTCGTGCAATAATCGAGGTTCTTCTATATTGACACCAATGAAGAATTTAATTTTTGGTTTTTATTTGCATTCTTAAATTTTACTTGAATTATTAATTTCATAGATTCAATACAGGCACACATCTTATCGAGGTTAATTGGTATAGTATCAATAATCAATACAAAATAAATTCTGCAAACATTCGATAAGAATTCATACCTATTTTTTTATTGTAAATTATTTCTGTATCCGAAGAGGGCCAAACGATAAACGCTTGTATTTATTAATTTCCATTCATATATAAAAATTACATACATTAATTTGTGACGTCAGGAAATTTATCGTTCGTTCGCAAACATGAATTAGAAAGGGGAAAATCTTCCTTTAAACGGATAATTGTAATCCTGATTTTTGAAGTGTAATTATAATCATTATTTTATGTAAATAATGACAGATTGTACGTTTAACAGTTTTCACAACACTACGGATATACGACTGATCCTTCGTTCGAACTTAAGTGTATTGGAGTTACAATAATCGTGACAGAGAAACGATTCGACGCCGTTCTCCGCCTTAACGCACCTTCGTTCTCGTCAATTCTAGTCCATTTACATTTGAATCGAACGCGGCATTCCGTGAACCCTGTATCAAGAAGAGATTTGCAAGATATCCGCTGGGTAATGTATTCGTGTTAAGTGCGCGCGGATTGTCGAACGGAAGTGAAGTGCCTTCGAGGTCTGGGGCGTCCTCGATTTGCCTTTTGTTACTGATTGAAATGCAACAGGACATCGTTGACCGATACATTCGCCGTATACCCTACGTAGAATTTAACCGCGGTGTCCATTATATGGAATGTAATCTGCATAGTGGTATGTATAATATTCTATATTTATATATTTATATATTTATATAATATATCTATTCCTTTGCGCATTTGTAAAAAGCCTTGCTTGCCTAGAAACAACATTGTACGTGTATCTGTTCCGCATATATTTTTTACGCGCGTGTATCGTGTACGTATAGTTGTTTATGCGTGTTCGTGTATCCGTGTATAAATGTATTTTATTCCGTGTTCTTTTTTTTTCTCTACTGGCATAAATCAACAAGTCCTTTAAAATACATTCCTCTATTCTGATAATCCACGATCGTTAAATCTCTCTACCGAAACACTCAAACATAACACCGATTTATCGTTTTGTTTGTTTTCTCTTCTCGCTATTATGTCTGCCCCGCGGTTCTCCGCACGTTGTTTCGCACATCCATTTTTCTCCTTTGTTTTCTTTTTTTTTTTTAGTCAGTCTTGGCATCGTAAAACATTTATAGGTGCTTCGATATAATAACTTACAGAGTAACGACTAACGATTATCAATAAGTTTCCCCATAACGCGTTTCGTCTTTATCCACACCCCCATCGTCCAACTCTGACCGTTGTTTCTCCCGTCACACCTCGCGTCGATATTACAACGTAACCCCTCTTCCCCCCATTTTATACGTATACGCGTTAAATTGATACATACATATATATATATAATATATATATCCATATGTATATTAATCTCGTCACCTTAAAAATATATTATTGTCCTTCGATGAGAACGTAGCATTCAACGCGATGCTTCCTCTTACTTATGTCTTCCCTACACCTCGTCCGATTGTTCGAAGAACGATCACGACAAACGTAGGCTCTCTGTCTCTATACTATTCGAACGAAAATAAATATAGGAGTTAGCCGGTTACATCATTGGGTCCGCGTTTCGTTCCCCAGCGGCACGATAATCGTTCCCTTCAATATTTCCTTCGGTACGGCTTTGGCAGGAATCACGTGTCTCTTTATCGGCTTCGGCTTCACTTCCATCCGCCATTTTGTTTCCGGTTCCCTCGACCCGTTCGAGACCAAAGGCTCGCGTTTCGTTTCGGTTTCCTTTGCTCGGAAACGGACACCTTCCAAAGGACTTCCCCTCACCCCCACCCCCATCCCTCTCTCCTTCCAGCGTTTGGGTTTTTAGATTTAGGCTGATGCTAACTCGTCGTGGACAAAGGCGTCGTCCAGTCGACGAGCGTGGCCGGAGGCGACGTCACGTTGACGATCGTCGTTTCCGGCGTTCGTTATCATACGTCGTTGTCGTGACAGAGCTCGATCTTCCGCCTGGAAGAAGTTGTCTTCCTCAGCTGAAGTCGTCGTTTGTCCACCACGAAGTTCTTCATGCAGCCCTTGACGCCAGGATGGCCCGGCTTGCCGCCGACGAACAGCTTGCCGTTCGTCGTCAGCAGGGTGGTCTCCGTCGATACCTTCACCGGGGGGAAGTCGTCGATCTGTATCATCGATGCTCTTTGTCTTCTCGATGCTTTGATATGATGGAACGCGCCGTCGTCCACTCGTTCCTGAAACGTTACATCGATAGAGTCAGACAAACCGTCGCAATTTAACACTTGGGTAGTAGAACTTTTCACTATGGGACTAAAAAAAAATAAATTCTTCTGTTGAGATGATAAAAAAAAGAAATTTGGATAGGATTTATGAATTTTAGCAATTTCAATACCGATTCTCCTTATAAAACTTTTAGATCACGTGGTCAACAACTGTCGGGGATAGAAGTTTTAGTCCCGTAAAAGATGGTTATGGTCTGGCAATTAACTTTACTTTTCCAAGTTACTGGAATTCCATTTTCACACGTCGGATATTCATTTCTCTTTTTAAATAGTTAAGTGGAATTATTTCAACTATTTCCATCCTTCTAAATCTCGTTGAAACTCGAATACTCGGGACAAATAAGACATATGTTTATTTTTATGCGCAGTATCAATTGCTGAAAATTGATGGTCGAGAGATGCTCTTTGTTAAAACTTCTAAACAAGGATGTTGTAACATGGATTACGTAGTTTAACGGAAAATTATGAGTGTTGAGAGACGCTGGTAAGAGAGCAATAATAGAGAAAATGTTAATACAAACCGTGCTTCTTAACGATATTTCTTCGTTTCTGGTTTTGTGCGTGAGCACCACTTGGCCACCGTGTAACGATAACATAAGGTGTTCGACTTTTCCTCTTCCGATCCAAGCAATGAGACCCTCCGAGTCCGTCGTCCTCAGCCTCAGCTCAAACTTGTTCGATTGTTGACCTCTGCGCCTAAAATATCATTCTCTATAATCGCTGTTCGTTACACGAATCTTTTAACATCGATCTACAGTGCCATAGGTCAAGGACATTACACATACAGGCAAGCATGACACCCAAAAAATTAAAGTATATTTATTACCCCTTCAAACCTGTTTCCTCCATCACTAGTCAAGCTTTTGTATCTATCTGACATATGTTAATCACTTTTATTATTCTGAATTGAAAATCTGAACGAAATAAAATAATTGTTTGGAATCCCCAAAATGTCCCGGGATGTTAGTTTCGGGGAACATTGTGTTTCAAGAAATGTAAGAACAAGGTAATGCTTGTTTCTCTGAGCATGTTTCAACTATGTATTTGTTCTAGTGTAGAAATTGTACTAAGAAAAAATACATGGTGTAAACAATCGAAGTACAAAAACGAATCGTTTGATTTCTGTTTATATTATACTTCGAAGTTTCGATGACCAGGTTTGAAGGGTTTATCATTAATAGTTTCTACTTGAAAATAATGGGGATCATACACGTGATAATACATGGACACAAGGAATACGATAGCTCCCTCAAACGAGTACACCACAGCCATTCTTCCTAGAAACTTACTCCGTGTAATCGTAACTGTTGTAATCGTAGTCGTCGTCCTCCTCCAAGTCGTAGTCGGAGTAGGACTCCTCAAAGTACTCGCCGAGGGTAGTGTTAGTCGAGTTAGTACTAGTTGGTGTTACATAATCAGAAGGTTAGTGATACTTTGTTCGTAAGGATCTAGTCAGTCTACCGTTACTAATTTTATTGGACAGCCTAACTTGGTGCCCCTAATTGAGGAATACCTCAAGAGGTGTGCTGCAGTGATCTAAGAATATATGACGGAATTGTTTCGAATTGTTTGAGCGGTTTACCTTCTTCCGTTGCGATGCCTGAACTGTAAGAAGTTCTCGCCATCGAAGCGCACCGGTCTCTCGAATATCTTCGTGGACACGTCGTAACCCATGACTAAAAAGTACAGAAATAAATCATAATAATTTTGTGTTAAATTCATCAATATTTTAATTTCTAACACAACCACATTCCTACATTTTCAATATTATTTAATAAAATAGTACTGTCGTCTAGATTTCAAAATCTGCGAATGATCCTTTTAGTTTTTTTTTTTTTATAAACGGTGGGTAGCATACATTTAGATAGTTCACGATATAGTAAAATATATTACCATCGGTCGTTTAATAAATTCCATTTATAAATGCATTTTAAGTGGATAAGAAACAATAAATTTTCTTGAGGCATCTTAATAACTTAAGAAAGAAAGAGTTAATTTATAATACAATTTTTTTAATACTGCTATCTAACTTGGCAAAAGTCGAAGATGAACTTACAAAATTAAGAGATCAAGAATAAATAAATATTCCGTCCTTATTTTATAAGTACAATATCAGAGAAAACCATTAATTTATTCAATCTTCTTATTTCCGCCATGGTTGCAAGTCTTCTTCAGAGACGACATTCGTAATAAAAAGAAATACATATTTATACTTATTAAACATATAAAAATGATAAAGAATTTTAAAATTGTTGAGGCACAAGGACTCGATGCTTGTTTTTATTTAATAACAAAAAACAAAATTATCTCAGTTAATGAAAAGGTATATTTTTGTATATACCAATCGATTTTGTATTCTCTTTGTAACCATGACAGACACGTCGAAATTAAGTAAACAAATTGTTTCGACTGAATTTTCACTTGGATACTAGGAATGAATATTTATCTTTGACGTTTTTTAATTTTGATAAACTCGTGCAAAACGATATTAGAATCGAACGAACTTACAAAATTCGCAATGCAGGCCGTTGTAACCGTTCGCACACTTGCACAGATAGCTATTGAGAAGAGGCAAACACACTCCGCCATTGTGGCAAGGATTTTTGTTACTGGGACACGGTAGACCATCGTAAATGTCCGTGTTATGCTGGGTGACGTTCACTGCTAAATTCTGATACGTTTTCCCGTTCACCATCAATCTTTGTATTGCGCCATCCAATCCGGTCCGGGCTCCAGCTAAACGATGAACTTCTCGCCAATGTCTGTAAAAAAGTACAAAATTCTAAGCATAAGTATTTACTTTGCTTATCGTGTTCGAAGCAAAATATTATAACATGTTTAATGTGAATTCGATGATCTAATAAAAATTGTTTCGAACGAAGTATTTGAAAGAAGATCGTCAGTAGTATGCTTTTTGTATACAAAATTGGAAATATGTGTCATATCTTTAAATTACATAAGAAAGAAAAATCAATTCAGAAACATAATATTATGTTTCATTTCAACCATCTGACATTAAAATAATGTAATTTATATCCGTAGTACAGTCCATTTTATCTATTATCATTTGGCCTAGTTTCGTGGGACAATCTATACATATAAGTATGGCATGAAATAATAATCGTTGTCGAGGAAACAAATTTCTTTACTTGCTTTTCTGTCTGAACGCGGTATGTCAACGTGTTTTAAATGATACGCGATACAATTTATTGAATTGGTATGTTGCATGTAGTCTAACAATAGAAAAAAATAGTGATTAAGAAATAAGAGTAGAAAATTGCTTGATATTGATGACCTTCTGTTTGAAACATTTTTCGTTAAACTATCAGACTCAGATTGAACATTGTTCAACTTTCTTCGATGTAGAGAACTTTATTGTCAATATTACAGCAATATATCAGTAAGTAAATTATACAAGAATACTAAAGAGTGCCCAATGCAAGGTTCGACACGTTTATATCAACTCAATTTTATTTGATCAGACTAGTAATGGATTAATTTTCTATCGTCTGTTAGAAAAGCTCATTCAGGTGTAGATTTCAAGGCATTCGGTGGAAATTTTTAATTAATTTTCAAACGTACTTAACACCACCGACGTAAAGTGGCATTTCGAGGTTCAGTTCCGTCAAACGTGGTCCGGATAATCCCCTGGCGACCGTTCCGTCATCCAATTGGAGGATACCTTCCCTACCGAGTCTGCTGATTCTAACGCAATGCCACGTGTCGAGCGTGACAGGATCCGGAGAGGTGATATTGGCGATACCGCTTCCAAGATTGAATCGAAACTCCAGCTTGCCGTGGACTAGGTTTAGACTGATGAAGTCGCCGCGTCCATTGTTCAGCTGTCCATTGTAAAGCAGCAAACCATCGTTTGCTCGTGTAAGAAACCATAGTACAATGTAGAACGCTTTCGCCACCCCTTCTAGACACGGAAGTTCTAGGAAACCGTCGCTTGACATTTCGGGTATCAGCAGCTCTGTCAATTCAGCATCCACTGTAGACAATTGGAAAAGTTAAAGTTAATCCACGTGTATATTTTGGGAGTTACATTCACTGTTCAGTAATATTTTCGTTCGAGATACAATACTGGCAAGTTTCTTGGATTAATTTGTGTTAAGAGGTTTTGTTGTACAATACTATTTAAAAAATGAAGGTCATCCGTGACTTTTTTGGAATAAAAATTTATAGCTGAACAGAAACTGATTACTTGTTGCTTGATTTAGTTTTTATGTCAGAAGTGTATGTGTGTGACACTCTATATACTGAAGTCAATTAGACAAATTACTAGAATTATTCTGGAACATTCAGGAAAATTGAATAGAAACAGAGTGATTTTTCATCGTAATAAAAAAAAAATTGATTTGAATTTGATTGCCACAATCGATCAATACTTTTCAGTAGGTAAAATGTTCGAAAATATTAATGTACTAAGTAGTATTCTACAACCTTCAAATGAAAAGTCAAAGAAGCTTCATTTATAATGACAGTAGATAATGGTTTTCTTAGAGACTTTGGTTTCAAAAAATTGTATGAAATTTTTATAATATCGTTTCAAATTCTAATAGAAAGATCGTCATGCACTAAATAATAGAAAGGTCTGTAACAACATTGCCAGGTTCTTTTGATTCGAATGGTAGAAGCAGCATAGAGTTTCGGTGAGATCGAAGTAGCAGCAAATATTTGAAAATATTTAACTTGTTACTTCCGAACTTTGGTCTACCCTACTAATATCACTACATTAATATCGTCGTAAATAATTTAACTCACGAATCTCGCAGTGCTCGCCAGTCCTACCCGGCGGACATTTGCAAACGTAACCGCCTTGCGGAAGGATATCGCAGGTAGCTCCGTGCTGGCAAGGTTCGCCGATACAGGGATCCAAGGATTCCTGGCAGTTCCTGCCAGTGAACTGTGGCGGACAGATGCATCTGTAGTCGGGTGGATCGTACTTTTCCACGGCGTAATTCCCGTGCTCGTAGTTGTTCTCGTAATCGACTTCGTAATCGTAATCGCACTTGGCCGTCGTGCAACGTTTCTTCGCGCTCTTCTTCGGCCTTCGTTGATTTATAGAGGTGCAATGCGTCCCTTTGCAACGCACGATGTTCACGCCGGTCTGTTTTCTGCCCTTTCCCCGTTTCTGTATCCGTCTGCATTCGCGACCGTTGCAGAGGTCCTCCTCGAAAATCGGTTGGCACGTGGCGCCATTTTGACAGGGTAGATTGGCGCACGCGTTTTCACCGCACTCTTTAACGCGATAGGTTTCCAGGATGTCTTTGTCGTGGCCCACGTGCAGGTCGACGTAGTTCCCGTTGATCTTCATCTTACGGATACAACCGAGGAAGCCATGATTGGTGCCGATGTTGTTGTATACTCTGAAACGAAGATTATCAGTTGAGAATCTTGAGAAAAATTTGTCCTGTTTTTTTTAAACTAGCACTCAAATCCTACTTCATAAAGCATTCTTCTTGTATAAGGGTGTTTTTATAAAAAAGTGCAGAATTACTTTTATTTGCTTCGAGCTTAATTCTTGAGAAAATCGAGTTTGAAGACCCCCTTTGTACATTTTGAAAATAATATTTATGTAGCATTTAGAAGCTACTGGACTCGTGAAAATATACAAGAAAGTATTTTGTTGCCTCAGTTACAATGGTAAAGTATTTTTCAATTTCCCTTTGTACGAGGAATTTGCATGTTTTGGCTCGCCTCATCGAATTGAAACATCTTATTATATATAATACAATATAAAGTTATTAATTGTTAAATATCATGCACAGATTCGAAAAGGTTGATTCGTAAATATAGAATAAAATTCATACAATGGAGAGTTACAGGGACAATATTTTCCTAAATCAGATACGTACTTGGAGTAATTCGTTGGCATATTCCCGATGTACGTGTTCTGGTTCAGGTTCAGCGACTTCAATATTCCTTGACTTTGACCAAGCACGTCCTCACCGTCGTTGAAAATTAGAATACCGTCCTTGTGGTACCTCTTTGCCGCTACGCGATGGAACGTTTTCATAGTAACTCTCTCTGTAGAGGTCAGAACCACCGGACCGTTTCCCAAATTGTATCGGAACTGCACGAATCTGTGGAGAAAATTGTAAAGGAACATTTGAACGGACAACAGGAGGCTCGTGGGCAGTGAACATGTTAGAAAGGGAATCGAAGCATCGTTACGTTATTTAAAAAATTATTTCGAAAATTGTTCATTCTACGAACGATTTGATAATTAAATTCAACGTAGCATGTCATCGTACGTTTGGCAACTGGTAATTTCGTGTCTTTGTCGATAGTTCGGTAGGTAACAAGTACTGACCCGTCGACGATGGCTAACGACACGAAATCCCCGGTTCCGTCGCTCTTCTGTTGGTTGTAAAGTATAATCCCATTGTCGGCGTATGTCTTGAACTCGACCTCGATGCTGAACTTGTGGTAAGCTTTCAATCTGTCCATCCTTACGTAGCTCTTGCCGTCGAACGACGGCACTTCGTAATCCCTTCTGTTGATCTTCTCGTCGCACAATAGTCCCGTGTAATTCGGCCTACAGATGCAAACGAACGTTGCATTGGGCAGGTCAATGCACGTCGATGTTGCGTGACAGGGGTTCGACAGGCAGGCACGGAATTCTTCGGTCGGTGTGACTGGCACGTAATTAGCTGAAAACAGGTTAATTAGATTCGTTCGTTATCCTTCGGTGGATCTAAGAAATATGGAATGTTCGAGGCGACGAAAAGTCTGTTTTCAAAATTGTTTCTTTACTTTTGGTTCCTCCTGTGTTTATAACGTGTTGGCGAGTGATCAGAGAAACCAAATTTTCCTGTATGAAAATTCTATAAATATACATATGTCCATTCTATAGGAGGTGAATCTATATACTAGAAAAAGTGAGAAATGTCATACAAACACGTGTTTTTAATTATCTGAAAATAAAATATACAGATATATGGACCGTTTATTTTGAAAGTGGTGTAAGTCCATTTTCTCTTGTTTCGAGAAAATTAAAGGTTAACATATCTGTTAATTAAAGAATTTAGGCAAATTATATGAAGTCTGGCAATGTTTCTACTGTTTTATCAATATGTAATTTGTTTATATAAATTTGTTTTAGGCGTATTTTACTAAACTGATGTATACTTACGGGCTGCAAATGGACTTACACCACTTTCAAAATTAGACAATTGTAAAAATCGTTTAATTTCAATTTTGAAAAATCAAATATCACTTAAAATATATTTCATATTAATCCAATTTTGTTTACAAATAATGACGAAATAAGTTTGTTAAAATTAAAATAATTATACTAATTCATTCTAAAATATTTTTTAAACGCAAACAAATTATGATACATGTTCTGTAGCTGACATTATGCATTTCATATCTTTATGTTGCAAAATAAGATATTACAATTCCTTTTCGTTCTTTCTACTGATCGACAACCATCTGCTAAGCCACCTACCTCTGTCAATTGGGCTTACACCACTTTCATAATCGATGATTATGCAATTCTATTTACCGATCAATTTTAAATTGCACAGATATGGGAAGTTTTTAAGAAATTAAACACGAATTAAATTAAGCATGAATTACGTGATATCTCATTTTTTTCAAAAATGGACTTACACCACTTTCAAAATAAACGGTCCATATATGAAAACAGTAAATCACACAAACGATGCCTTCAGTTGTTGTTTCAGTGCAATGAAAATAGTAAAAATATGGATGAGTTCGTGGTTATTCTTCAGCACTGTGTTCATATGACATTCTCAAATTCTTTTAGTTTGTAGATTCACCCTCTGCAGTACGGGCATGTAAATTCCTGCAATCTACGTCGAATAAAATATTAAATAGTTTACCGAAGCATTCTTGTCTGTCGCTGGTCTCCGCGTATCCGTCGGAGCAGATGCAACCTCCGTTGGAGCATTCGCTGTTCGGTATAGTGCAATCCTTGTCGTCGGTGCAAAGATCACCGAGCAACGCAGTGACCACGCGAATCGTCGCTGGAGTCGGCCGGTAAGCGGCCGCGACACCTGAAAAACAATCGCGACGGTGAATCGATCGTCCCACGGGGTTGTTTCCCTCCTTGCGTCGGGAAGGGACCGTTCCTTGCCCTTCGGGACGATATCGATCCAGAATTAACCACAAAAGCGGATTTAGAGTGCACGTATCAAAGCGACGCACACATAGCCACAGTTCGTTATCACGATCCGCCGTTATTTCGAACTATTAATTGCGTCGCGTCGAGAATATTATCGCGAACGAATTACAAAGCATTGGTTATGTCGGAGGAGGTAACGTTTTCGATGAAACGCGTCCTGTGTCTATTCCGCGGGCTCTGTTTGTTAGCGCGTACACGCGACGCTTCCTCGTCTCTGTAATTTAAATTTAAACGAGGACGTTATTGATAACTGAAGCGAGAAAATTATTTTTGAAACGGGAAACTTTCCTTCGTTAGAAATGAATTTGAAACGTTTGGAGCACCCTTACATGCAGGGTGTTCGAAAAGGTTGGGATCAAACTTATACTATGAGTTAATGATGTCAAATAGATGGCAAAGGTTCGTACTAACTTATGTCCATAAGTGCTTTATTGAAAATATATAAGCATTCAAAGATCGGTATGTCAACGTGTTTTGAATGATACGCGATACAATTTATTGAATTTGGTATTTTGTATGTAGTCTAACAGTAGAAAAAAATAGTGATTAAGAAATAAGAATAGAAAATTGTCTTGCACCGATAAACTCTTTGTTTGATATTGATGACCTTCTGTTTGAAACATTTTTCTTTGAACTATCAGAATTAGATTGAATATTATTCAATTATCTTCGTATAAAAGTTTCTTGTCAATATTATAGCAATATATCAGTAAGTAAATTATACAAGAATGCTAAAGAGCGCCCAATGCAAGGTTTGATACCTTTTGGTATACACAAACAAGTGTTCAGAAAGGTTGGGATCAAACTTATGATCTAATGATGTCAATGATTCTAATGAAGTCAAATAGATGACAAAAGTTCATACAAACTTATGTTCATAAGTGATTTATTGGAAATATATAAGCATTCAAAGATTTACGGTCAGAATTTGTCTTAAAACTCGTTGTACAAAATCGTTTACGTATTATAAATTCTCAATAATATTACATGTTCTGAGCTATGACCTCAAGACCTATGCTATCAGTCCTTCTAACATCTAATAGACATACAATACACATTTTCCTTAAACGAAGAACAAAATATCAACTTTGGGAATGTATTCAAAATGCATTTACCAATTCGACGAATGGAAGCCTGCATTTTTGAAAATGGAGGAATTTTCGAACATTTTTTACAACTGATATAATAGATCATAAATATTTTTAAAAGCTTATATCTTTTTAATAAAGCATTTTCGGACATAAATTTTTATGAACATTTTTTTATCTATGGCCTCAGTAACATTTATCAATAACATTTTTGGACTCCCTGTGTAGAGTGAATCAAACAACTGGGACGAGTTATATCTCGAATTTGATCAAACATAGATAAAAAGTATTGGAGGAAAAAGTTGAAGGATAGTGTTCATTTTTGAACGATAGTTTTTCTTCAGTGCAACGATGCACCTCAATAGTGCATATGCGCTTCTTAAAAATTGAAATCATTTTGCTTAAAGAAGTGCTAGGATACCATGTTTTGAAAAATTAATACCTTTTAAGATGTTTCACGAACATTTGCGAATTTAAAGGTACGATTAGATCAATTGAAATTTGGTTCGTTTAGTGTAAACGATCATGGTATAATCTGTTCGTAAATTCGTCATGACAAACTCTAGTAAATGTTCCCAGAGATATAAACGAACATCCAGAATACTCAGTAATTATGTATGAATCGATTAATTGTAAGCACGTATCATTATTCCTAACTATGACTTATAATTTACATTTTATAATTATGTGAAATTAATCAGCCAAATAATTGAATGCGTGCATTTGATTTCTAAATTTGCGAGCAATCAATGAATGTTCGTGTCATTCAATTTTATTGAAGTGAGGGAAGAATTTGTTTGCTTCTTCTAAATGTTTGCATTCGTGAACAAATGTTTATGACAGTTGGTAAATGATAAAAAAATGCTTGTACTACATTATTTTATCCTATGTCATATCATAAAATTCCTGATGAGGATATACAAATCAAGTCAAAATATATTTAATCACATCCTATAAAAAGACAAAATTACTGTAAAAAATTTCACTATTTCCATATCAAAAATATAAATTTCAATTTACAGAAATTCTAAATCTCAATGTGTAAAATCATGTATCCATGGTATTGTTATATAACCAAATAGAAGCGAAGAGTATTCTTAGGTAATGTTATGTATGTTTCAATGAGGATTTAAAAAAGTTAGATAGTCAATGCGAGAAATAGAATTTATCAAATGTTTGCAAAAAATATATACAATTATACAGAAAGGTGAACACAAATTAGAATTATTTTCTTAATTATTCAACTTCAGGAGATTGGACGAAACGTTCCGTGCAAATTGGCGGAGAAGAAAGAAGGGGCTAGTTTTTACCGTGTTTTAAATTGTCTCTGTCGATCGTGATGGTTTCTTGATGCGCTCGGTGGGTGTAATAATAGCGTGGATCCGGCTCCATCAGATGCCTGGTAGATTTTGATAACGGAGAAATGCCGGCCGCTGGCTGGGTGTATTGCACCGCCGTGTACCTTTTAACGGGGAAGTCCGTGTTCACCATGGGATCGTCTGAAAATTTCACGAAATTCCGACATTCTGCAACCATTTGAGAATGCAACGAAAGAAACGAGGCAGACTTAAAACTATTTAAAGGGTGGTTCTAATGGAGCGCGTTTCAGACGAGCAGCAAAACGTAACGTTCATTATGTAAATGCGTTTTCTTCATCCCCCCTACCGAAACAACGTTATCCTATGCTAGTTTTCATATTTTTCATTCTCTTCAGTTTTTCGTTACGGTCAACCCACCCAAGAAACAAAACTACTCAAATGCTTTAATTATTTACTCAACTCCGGACAATTCTTAAATTTTTATCGCTTTGATTAGGAACAACAATCTTTATTGCACTGTCATAATAGTGCATTAATTCTTTGCAACAATTGTTTTCGCACAGTGTTGTAACAGCTTCGAATTAAATTGAGAAAATATTACATTTGTAATGTATTTATTAACTTCTTGGAAAATTAAAGAAAGATACAAAGATATAAATGTGGTGTTTAAGAAAAATGTGTCACCGTTTTTTCAGTATTAATTTTTCATGTTAAAATTGGGAAGACATTTATCTTCGTTTTTGTAACGTTAGTGCTTGCAAATTAAATATTATAATAAGGTTATAATGGTTCTGAATTGGTATGAAATTACCTCTATTTATCTTTTCTTCTCCACATTATCTCCATTCATTACACTTATACAATTTGACTTAGAGATAAAGTTTGGAACGAATGATCAGTATAAGTGGAAGACTTATATACAATGGCGTCGAAAGAGCCGAAATATAATACAAACTACCTAGTCGAAAGGAACATTCACCAAAACTAACAAAAACTAAATTCTATATTATAACATTTTCCAGTAGTAAGTGATATTGCTTTAGACTGTCTGTACAACCATAGCTTCACGCAAAAGAATGTTTTCTATGTTAATATTCATGAACAATTTAATTTTCTTTCTTAAATTAAAAAGAGAAAAACAAATTTGCTCGTCAGGCTTCGAGATTTTGTGTTTCGACTTCTTGTTATTCAGTTTAAAGTTTGTATGGGAATAAATTAAATTTTTAACAAATTAATACATATCGAACCACTAATAACAGGTGCAATCCATTTGGATTGCAATTTGTTAAATGAGACATCGTTAAAACGTTATTAAAAAGTTAAATTAAAAAATTTCAAATCATTCTGAAAAAATTATTTTCAGTTGCGGGGGTCAATTAAAATCATTTTTGGTCAATACACATACCCCCGAAATCCTACGCGTTTCCGAGAAAAAAATTCCTTACCGAAAATTTAATGTCTGACCATACCATTCATATGTTTCCCTGAAATGTCATGCGTATGTTCAAAACATCATAACTTCTGAACGGATTGGAGGATTTTAATGTTTCAGACGGCAAACAACGCGTATTTTAGTGGAGAATATGTACGAATTTCAAGACTATTCGAAAAGTTATTCCTTGACCCCGTAAAATGAGAAAAACCCCATAAAAGTGGTTGAATTTTCGAACGTCCATAACTTCTACAATATTGAACGTATTTCAATGAAATTTAGTATGGAACTAGAGCTCGTGGATACCTACAAAAAAGTACTAAACAAAATTTCCGTAGGTCGTCAAACAAATTTATTAAAAATGAAAATCGAATTTTTAAGAAAAATCGACAGGGGCAGGTGCAGAAATTTTCCGGCGAGATTAAAAAATTTCAAATCGTTCTAAAAAAATTATTTTCGGTTGTGGGGGGCAATTAGAATCATTTTTGGTCAATACTCATACGCTCGAAATCCTACACACTTTCGAGAAAAAAATTCTTTACCGAAAATACAATTTCTGGCCAGAAATGTTTTTATAACTTTTTAACGAAGCCTCAATCAACAAATTAGTATCCTTGATTTTCGTCTTATTTTGGCCTTCAGAATCTCCCATTAAAATTTTTCCGAAGGTTGGCCGCCCTGTACATTTCTTTAATGTCGTTTTAATTTCTTTATTACAAATAAATACACTATAATTGTCGGTAGTTCTATTGTCAATACGTTGTATAATAATTTTCCTATATTTGAAACAAATTACTACTGTTCCTTACTGAAAACTCCGACATTACTTTTCGACCAACTCAATCATAACGAACAGAGGATTAAAAAGGGGTGGGGGGTGTGAAAGAACGATCCCTCAAATACTTTCTTCCGACCGGACGTAAAAATTCACACTGTGCTCGCTTCGACTCGAATCTACCTTTGCGCGCGAATGTTTCGAGTGTTCGGGAAGTTGAACGTTTCAACGTTTTAATCACGGAACGAATTTCCATCCCGTCCCCGGCCTGCCGCGACAGCGATAGGAAATCGGAGCCCCACACAAAAGGGAATTTCCGACCCGGAGGCGGAATGGCGGAGGTGCGTCGCAATTTCTCTAAATAATGAGAATCGAAAAGCTAATTCTATCGGAGGCAGTAACGCGGCTCTCGGTAACAGGAGTTGGAGACGGCTTGATGGGATTTTAATTACTTTCCAATTGCAGCGTTGCTTCCTATTATTTCACATCGACGACTTCCGCTGCACGCTACTTTTTCCTTCGTTTTTTTTTCTGCTCCGCCCCCCACCCTCCGCGCAGCTGTATGTCTCCCAGCCCTCTCGTTCCTCCGAAACCCCCGTCGGTCCCGCCGTATTCGCGTATTTCTCTCGATATAATCGACTCGTTTATTGACTGCGGGACAATCCGACAACAAAACTTTTCTCTCGTTTCTGTCCCCGTTGAAAATATTTTCCGCTCTGAACACTCCGGCGTACGCCGAGGGTGAACCGGTATATGTGGGGGAGTACGTAACGACAGAGGGAGCGAGAGAGAAAGAGAGAAGGGAATGGATTTAGTCAATTTAAGAGTTCGTCGATTGGCGGAGAAGAGAGTCTGACGGGAAATACGAGTTGACATTTACGAACCGAGGAAATTTCTTTCCCCCGACCCGCTTGGTCGATTGGTCTTTTCATCGTGGGGCTTTGCCGACGTTAGCGTTCGACTGTTCCATTACTTCATTCTCTTCTTGTTTATTTTACAAAGAGCGCCGAAGTAACGGGAGGGTTAACCCTCCTCCCGTACACTTATCTGTTGAAAGCGCGGAATTTTAACGAAGTTAGTAGTTCAAATGCGAGAACGATGTCGCAGCTACTTTCGGGTTTACGTTTATCCTCCCTCGTTTCTTGTTTTAAGCGACGTTGATGCTCGCTTGCGATGGAACGTTAATTTTTCAGCGAGTTAAAGAAGCATTCGTGTCCGTCCATGGAAGAACCACGACATTTCTTGCATTTTATAGCATCAAAACTGTTTAACATGTCTTTTAGTTGTCCACACGTTTACATACACAAATAGGTAATTCTTTTAACGATTTACGAAATGACAAAAGAAAATATTAATTATACAGGGTGTTCGACCATGGGAAAAATTGTAATGGGAGATTCTAGAGGCCAAAATAAGACTATAATCAAGAATACCAATTTATTGATGGAGGCTTCGTTAAAAAGTTATTAATGTTTAAAGTTCCGCCCGTACTGAATTTTTTTATAGAAAGTGGCTAGGATTTCGGAAGTATGTCTATTTACAAAAAATGATTATAATTGACCCTTGCAACCAAAAATAATTTTTTTAAAATGATTTTAAATTTTTTAATTTAGTTGAAAAATTTTACACTCCCTCGAATTTTTTTCTAGCAAATGGGTAGGATTTCAGGGGTATGTCTATTGACCAAAAATGATTGCAACTGATCCCCGTAACCGAAAATAATTTTTCCAGAACGATTTGAAATTTTTTTTTCACCTGAAAATTTAAGCATCTTGTCGATTTTTCTTAAAAATTCGTTTTTCATGTGTAACTAATTTGGTTGACGCTCTACAGAAAAGTTGTATAATACTTTTCTATAGGTATCAATGAGCTCCAGTTTACTACTAAATTTCAATTAGATACATTCACTATTATAGGAGATATGGTCGTTTGAAAATTGGACCATTTTTATGGTGTTTTTCTCAATTTGCGGGGCCAAGGAACAAGTTTGCTAATATTGTTAGAATTTCTACATATTCTCCACAAAAATACGCGTTGATTGCACTTTGAAACTTTAAAATGCTCCAATTCGTTCAGAAGTTATGATGTTTTAAACATACGCATGATTTTTCCAGGAGGCAATTCTGGCCTGAAATTATATTTTCGGTAAGGAATTTTTTTCTCGAAAACACGTAGGATTTCGGGGGTATGTCTATTGACCAAAAATGATCGTAATTCACCCCTGCATACGAAAATAATTTTTTTAGAACGATTTGAAATTTTTCAATTTCGTCAAAAAAGTCGACCTTCCTGAATTTTTTCTTGGAAGTGCGTAGAATTTTGGGAGTATGTCTATTGACCAAAATTGATTGTAATTGATCCCTACACCCGAAAATAATTTTTTCAGAACGATTTGAAACACATGAAATTTTAGAGGAATCATCCATTCACGATCAGACATTATATTTTCGGTAACGAATTTTTTTCTCGTATCTGAGTAGGATTTCGGGGTATGTGTATTCACCAAAAATGATCGTGATTGACCCTCGCAATCAAAAATAATTTTTTCAGAATGATTTGAAATTTTTTAATTTAATTTTTTAATAACATTTTAACGAAGCCTTAGTCAAGAAATTGATATTCTTGATTTTTGTCTTATTTTAGCATATTAAAGACAAAAGCACACAAGAAATAGATTTTTTGAATTTAAAGTTTTGTTAAATATCTAACTTTCAATATTTTTTATATAACCATATCCATACCAACTTTTCCATTTTTAATGAGCAGAACGATTGGAATCGTGGTAACCATGGATCTTTTTTTGAAAGGTCTTTTATTGAATATTTTTACAGGAAAAAAATCGTGAATATTCTTGGAATATAGATCTAAATATACGTATTTAAACTCGTTACAAAAATATTTTACTTCTACCCCCAACAAAAATTCCAGAATGCCGTTAAAAAATTGCGCTGTAGAGTAGGATACCCCCTTAAG